GGCCCCGCGGCCTGCCCCGGGGGCTGCCGCAGGTGGAGGTGGGCCCTGCCCTCAGCCCGAGGGGCCGTGAGGGCCTCGGGGACACGCAGCTCCTGTGAAGCCCCAGGGGGTGACCTGGCACAAAGCTGCACACACAGGAGTTTGCTCAAAAATGAGGGGACTAAGAAGGTCGAAGGCCTTAAATCTGGTGATATTTTGGGGTATGACTACTACATGGTAAGCTCCAGACTTAGTGGATACGGAAATAAAAAGGGAGCCCTTAAAATAGTACCGTTAGCATATTCCTGCCCTCAAGAGGAGCCAGCCACACCCAAAATTTGGCTCAATAAAATATATCTAATGGATCTCTCAAAATCGTGATTAAAAGTGCCCCGCGGTGTCTGAAAATAATAGTAAGCAATTTGTTGTTCAGCTGACTTATCTGGGATAGCATAAGGAAGGCTTTCTTCACCTTCCTCTACCAGGTTAATAGTTTTATCATGTCTAAGCCAGTGAACTCCGGGCTACAGCCCCGTCTTAATGTTCTTTTACTGCCCTTTTTTGCTGTTCCCTGCTAGGCAAAGAGAAGGTCAGTGTCTGGAAAGACAACAAGGCTCAGGAGACATGGTACTCTTCGTCTCGCTCAAAACAATCTAATTATCCCTCCCCCCGCCCCCAGTCCATGATTATTATCTACAGTCTCAAACAGATGAGTCAAAGGTGGAGTTTTTCAACAGGATCCCGGATTGAAAACCTTATGGGCAAATAAAAATTTCAAGGCTGTAAAAGAACAGGGAAAGGCAAACTAGGCACTGTTACTAGCCATAAATGTGTGAGTAAATCCAATGGTGAAATTCCATTCCATTGCCACGAGGCTTGCATTTCTAATTTCCATACTACTTCCTCCTTCAAAGTTCCCTTGTTTTATCAAGGAGGTTTTTTTTTACCTTTATTGTCACAGAGACAATTGGCAAAGCAACTGCTGCCCTCCTCTGTATGTCCAGATATTCCTTACATGGTGTTTGGACAACAATTAATGAAGAAAGTATTTTTTGTTAGAAGTTGGCTTTTTAAGTGCACATATGGGAGAGAACTACAATAGACTTAATTTCCAAAGCTACAAGCACCATAGCAAAACAAACTGTCGTTTGCAGGTCATAATCTGAAGGAGCCTGATCATCTCAAATCTTTAATTATCTTTGTTTCAACTCTTTGTTTGGCTTTTTTTTTAGGTTTAGGTGTTGTGCAAGTACATGTAGAGGTAACAACACTAAATCTATTACCTCTTAAAACAACTGTCAGTTTTGCAAAGCAGCAAACAAAACCGGGCTGCCTTTGTCTGGGAGTTTAACAGCCCTGATACATTACTTTGATTTTAAGCCACTTATACAGACTGATAGATCCCCGGAATATAACTAAAATTTCTAAATATGAAACTAATTGATGGCTGTTATAAAGATAATATGAACCAGAAAGCAGTTATTAGATGGTAATAGTGTTTAGTCATTGTAACAAATATTGATAGTGCTCTATTTTCTGTAATACTAACAGCATCTTTCAGGTAGATTGATACCTGCAAGAGTTGTCTCACACGTTAATCAAGAAAAGGATTGAGTGTGAATGTAAAAGATGCAGCTGATTTCAGTTGTTGCTAGACTGCCTTTTAAGCTCTCTGATAAATTGAATCCACCTGAGACAACATTCATTCCTCCAAAAAATGAACTTGTAAAATGGGAGCTAATTCTAAAATTGCATTAGGAACAAGAAATGGGTGAGAGCTGAAAAAGCATAGAAAACAAATTATTAGGCATATGCTGGAAATACAGAGGATGATATTTTATTTTAGAACCTTGAAAAAGATTCGAAAAAAATGCCCATTTGAGAATTTCAAAATAGAAGTTCACCCTTTGAATTCTGAAAAACAATACCATAGAGGCTGGTATGAAAGATGCAAGTTAGGGTCATCATAAATCTAGACAATGCTTCTGAACTGTTTGCAACTGACCGGAACCCAAATAATCATCCAAATATTTTTGTCCATTTTGGCAAGGTTCATAACTTTATAAATTACTTCTTCAATTTTACTATGGAAACCAAATAGACTCCTTACTTTACTTCTCTTCTTGCTACAGATTACCTCTACAAACTGTAGGCCTCATCCCTGATCCTCCATAAATGGCTACTGTTATGTTTATGCAGGAGTGTGCATTCTTTAAGCACTAGCAGAGAAAACCTTAAAAAAAAAAGGACTTTGTTTCCACTAGGATTTTATCTGATACCAATTTAATCAAGTTAAGGTTACATCTCTTTTAGCTGCAGAGAACAAAGTCAAACTGAGTTTTGACAAATCTGTGAGTTTTGCCCTTTCTGCCTATGTTTTTTTTTCTGTCTGACTAGTATTTCCACTTAAATGCATCTTAGAAAATGCAAGTCAACTCAAAAAACTTGAAGAATAAACAGATTAAATACCCCTATACAAATAAAAATGAAACTTGAGTCAGACTAAAGGAAACAGAATCCACAGGATATTCATGCAATGGTTTTAGAACATGACAGCCAAGGTAAAAATTGCTGTTAAATCTAAGTGAATCTGAAACCTGATCATCAGCTTTGTGCTTGCTACCAAGTCCATTCTGGTGTGCAGGGTGAATTTAAGCATATCCTTACTGCCTAAGTCCTCCAAGAATTCATAGAAGAATGAGCATGTACTGAGCTCCTTAAAGGTCAGCAGTGAATTAATTGCTACATGGAATTTACACTATTAACCATCATGGACCTGTTGCTTCCAGCCATGGGTTTGAGGGTTTATGTTCTTTTTGAAATTTTGCCATACAGAATGAGTCTTGGGACGAGTTTCGTGCTTCTTTTGAAATGTACAAAGGAATTATTTGTAGGGTCACAGGAAACGATAATTTTATAAGTACTTAAAAGCAGATTCTTTTTGGTAGTTTCAACCTTCATCTCAAGTGTCGACCATGTAGTCTGTAGTCTTTCAGGAGAGCAACAAAAACAGTTAAAAAGGGAGTGTAAGTGTCTCTGGTTAAAGCTGATTGACTTTGTTTACAAAAACAAATTAGCTGTTACGTTGCCCCTTCTTTTTACCTTCCTCTTCTATCATACAAACTTTTAAGCAGAGTAAATATTACAAATGAGAGTGACTACAAGCACCAAAATGCTCGGCAATTAAAAAAAGGCTAAATTTAGGCTTCTAAATTTATCTTCCCCTGCTCCTAGCTGTATGTCTCCTCATACTCCACTGGCTTTCAGCATTTGACTGGCTCTGGCACTTGCTTGATCCCCTCTGTGAGGCAATTCTGCTCACTAAGCTGGCAGAAAATACTTTAGTGGTGGTTAGTATTTTACTATCATAATCACAAATGTACAAATGTGTAGTAAGCTAAGAGCAGAAACAAAAGGAAGAGGAGAAGGTAGTGGAAAATGTCCCTTTAAGGACCAGAAACTGGGATAGCTCTGTCTTGTCCATCTGCATTCTTCTTTTATGGAAAACCTTCTTTTATGGAAAACTTGGCTTCTCTATACTGCGGTTTTAAAAAACATACTGTAAAATAAGCTTTAACATCCCATCTTTTAGTTTTATTTTTCCTGTTTGATTCTGTTGCCTTTTAGGTACCTTTTCCTTTTCACTGCCTTGTCCATTCTCATCAAAGTTTATTATTTGCTTATACATCTATTTGTTGCACAAAGCTCTTTTTGTTCAGTGATCTCCATGCTGCAAAGCAGAAGCGGGAATAGATATCTTCTAAAGTATGGACATGTTTTCAAATGTTACTGATAAAACTTTACTAGGAGGGGAAAAAAAACAACAGCAAAAATTTCAAAATATTCAGATAAATTTCAAAGGACTCTAGTGTTCTTCAGCATTATTTTTATTAATGTCCCAAACTTTCTATTTTAATTCTACTTTTTTTTTTTTTTTT